GGGTGTCTGTGAGTTGTAAGCCCACTCAAAGCAAGTGCTCAGGGTGCTCTTCACTGTTTCTGGCTCTACTTTACTCTAATTCATGCTGTTATTTTTTGTGCCATTTTTGCCTCTTGCTATATATCTCCTTGTACTCTGCCCTAAGTTCTTTCTGGAATAAAATGAGGAGTAGAAGGGTGGATGAAAGGGTGAATGGACGGATGGAGGAAGGGATGCACAGATGGACAGATGGACAGACTGAAGCATAACTAGTGTCTTTGCCCCACCTACCCGTGACTGGTGCTCAGAGCAAATGCCGACCAGCGTTCGCAGAGCCGCCAGCATGAGGTCAGTCTCTCCTGTGTCCAGCAGGCGCTGCAAGAGCTGAACCCCATTACTCTGGAAGATCTTCTCAGCTCCTGCATCCTCCCGGGCCAGCACCACCAGGTTCTGAGAAGCCTGTGTCGAAGGAAGTGCATGATAATGCTGACACTGCGCACGGCACAGGACAAAGCCTAGGCGAGCAGAGGCCCTGAGCTCTGGCCTCACTGCTGCCACTAAGCAGCTGAGTGACCTCTCTGAACCTCCCTGAATTTCACCTTCCTCCTCTGTAAATAGACAGAAGAGCCTGCGCTCAGGATTGGTGGTCAGAGTAAATGAGTGGACTGGGAGCAGTAGCTCATGCCTGTAATCCCAGCACTTTAGGAGGCCAGGGAGGGAGGATGGCTTGAGCTCAGGAGTTTGAGAGCAGGTTAGGCAACACAGCAAGACTTGCCTCTACAGAAAAAAAAGAAAGAAAAATTAGCCGGGCATGGTGATGAGTGCCTATGGTCCCAGTTACTCAGGAGACTGAGACATGGGGCAGATCACCAGAAGGTCAAGGCTGCAGTGAGCCATGATCATGCCACTGCACTCCAGCCAACACGAGACCCTGACTCAAAAAGAAAAAAAAAAATAGGGTAAATGAGTCCCAGCAGAGCCTGAAGGGCACTGAGGCCTCTATACACTAAATGCCTGGCAAAAGGCCTGGTCAATAAAGCACTCTGTGCACACAGTTCCCTTTTCTTGGTTTACAGGAAGGCCTCAAACCCTCAGTGCTCTTGTCCAGGCCCCTCAAGCCCAGCTGCACGATCAGAGGGGCAACATGCAGCAGGGACTTCAAGGTCAACATCAGTGAACGGAGGGTGCTATGGACAGGCACCCCTAGTGGGAGTTCAGCCCCTACTGGTTCAGCCCAGGGCCTATACCTTCTGCTTTTTCTCAGTGCCTTTCTCTTCTGGGTCCAACAGTATCTGAAACATCTGTTCCACTTTGGCATCTGTCGAGGACATGTATCGCACCTATGACAAACCAACAAAGCAAGAAAGACATCAGCTTTCCCGGTCAGAGATATCATATCCCCTGTTTGTTCTCTCCGGCTACTGCCAGGGCCTGGCTCCTCTCTTTGGAAGTGATTATGTGAACATGTGTAAGCTCAGGGTTAGAATCAAGCTGCCATGGGCAGGAAGAGACTTGCCCAGCAGCTACTCTGAGTTACTTCCTGATTGGGCAGCAGGGGTAGCACTGATGCCGAAGGCAGTGCCTTTCGGAAAAGATGGTATCCTGTTAGTCACGAGACAAGCCACTTCCAGTGATGCCATCTATGTCACGGCTTCATGAGCATGCTGCCCATGGCACTGAACTCAGCATTCATACCTCCTGCAAGGAAGCTGGCAGGTTGTGAGGCAGTTGCTGACGCTCCCTTTAGCTCCAGAGTTCTCTTTTTGACGGTTTTTAAAAATAATCTGAATAAACAAGATCATCCTAGGTCTACTCCCTGCCCCTCGAGTCCTGAGCATAGATGGTGGCACAAGCCTTGCATGAGTACCACTTCCTTTCATCTCTTGTATCCATGGCAGACATGGCTAATTAGCCATGAAACATTCCCCAGCTAAGCTCAGGCAATTTGCTTTCTAGATCTTCCCAACACAGAACTCTAGACAGCCACTGCCTACTAGAGTTAGCACTGAAAGAAAAAAGTATTTGCAGGTTTCAACCTTTCAATAAGGTGTCTGCCATCATATTATTTTCTTCAACTCATCAGCATTTAGCACCAAATCATCTGGTTAATTCAAGCTTGGTTATAGCTCAGGATGGTCTTTAGACTATTTTATCCTAAATTAATTTTAAGAGATATATATTATACAATGTCTCTTTATTTAAAAAATTAATAGATGAAGCAGTCTCTTTTGGAAAGCCCCCTCAATACCATTCCTTTCCCTAGAGGTCACAGTGTTATCACTTTGATGTACGTCTTTTATTTTATTTATTTTTAATTTTTTGTAGAGACGAGATCTCACTCTGTTGCCTAGGCTGGTCTGGAACTCCTAGGCTCAAGTGATCCTCCTATCCTGGCCTCCCAAAGGATTGGGATCACAGGCATGAGCCACCACATCCAGCCTGATGTACATCTTTTAAGATATTTTCAGCCGGGCACTGTGGCTCAAGCCTATAATTCCAGCACTTTGGGAGGCCAAGGCGAGAGGATTGCCTGAGCCCACGGGTTTGAGACCAGCCTGGGCAACATGGTGAGACCTCATCTCTACAATAACAAAAAATTAGCCAGGCATGGTAGCACGCTATAATTCCGGCTACTTGGAAGGCTGAGGCGGAAGGACGCCGAAGCCCAGCAGGTTGACGCTGGGGTGGCCATAAGCATGCCACTGCACTCCAGCCTGGGTGACAGAGTGAGACCCCAACTAAAAAAGAAAAGATATTTTTCTTTGTATTTACAACCTTACCCCTGTGTACCTACAGAAAAAGAATAGCAATGTTTTTCTATGTAGGGAATCACTTTAACATAAATGATATCATACTATATGTGTTATAGTATATTTTGCTTTTTGCATTCAACAAGTGTCAGAGAGCTTTCCAAGTCAATAACATGTGATCCACCCATTCTCAGTAACTATATCATAAAGGTCTCTAATAAGGACATCACCCAGTTTATTTAGCCATTCCCCAATGGCTGGGCATTTAAGCAAGTTCCAAGCTTTTCTTACTATAAACAAGGCTGAAATAAACAAACACATGCCTACTTGTACACATGGGCCAGGCTTCTCTAGGGGAAACATACTAAAAACAAATATACTGGATCACTAAATATGCTTGCTTAAAATTTACTAGAGGCCAGGCGTGGTGGCTCATGCCTGTAATCCCAGCACTTTGGGAGGTGGAAGCGAGAGGACTGCCTGAGTCTAGGGATTTGAGACCAGTCTACGCAACTTGGCTAGACCTCGTCTCTACAATAAATCAAGAAAATTTAACTGGGAGTGGTGGCACACGCCTGTAGTTCCAGCTACTTGGAAGGCTGAGGCAGAAGGATCACCTGAGCTCACCAGGTTGAGGCTGCAGTAGCCGTGAACATGCCACTGCACTCCGGCCTGGGTGACAGAGTGAGTCTCAAACAAATAAAAAACATAAAAAGTGTACAAACTTTTAAATGTTTGCCAAACAGGCCACCAAGAAAACAGGACCATGCTGCCATTTGCATTTGATTTTCCCTAACTACAGGCAAAGTGGAGCCCATTCTATATGCTCATTTGTCATCAGTGCCTCTTCTCTAGAGATCTGTGCCTACACCCTTGACCGGATCCCTTTTCCACCAGTCAGTGCCACCAACCCTCTCCACCACTCACATACCTTCTCCTGAATCTGGCCCCCAACATTCCGTAGGGCCTCCTGGAAAACTTTGTTCTTGGGCTCCAAACTCACACATCTCTGCAGGTCAAGGACAGCCTGGTCCAGGCGGCCCAGCTTCTCTAGGGCTTGGCTCCGCCGGTAAAGTGCCTTGACATCCCCACCGTCCTTTTCAATGGCTGAGCACAAACAGGAGCTCTGTCAGCACCCAAGAGGCCACCGTCTCCAGGCAAGAGCAATAGGGAAAGATCTCGAGGGCCAGAGGAAGGGGGACGAATATGGGGTTCAGTACTTCAGTCTCAGAAGAGGTGAGGGTAGCTGCAGAAAAGGAAATGCCCGAGGAGGTGGGAAAGAAAGAAGGCAGATATGTTTCCAGAGCCAAAAGAGAAGAATGTGATGACGCAGTGGCCCCAGAGACCTTGCCCACCATAGAAGCTCTACAGCTCCCCGTGAGGGCCCACGTCCCCCTACCTTTGGATGCTTCTGTTTCTGCTTTGTTGTAATCTTCCTGTAAGAGAAAGAACAGGATTCTGAGAGGATGGTCATCTCCCTTGCCGGGCACTAACTGGGGAGCAAGGGTACTCTTGTCCCCCGGGGTCACCCGATCCCTCAACCACCTTGAGGCTCAAAAGACAACTGACAAGTAGGGTGGCCTGGGAAAGTGGATACCCAGCCAAGGCCGAGCATCCGCAGAGATGGGCAAACTGGGATCCGAGCTGGCAAGGGGAAGGCGGCCCGGCTCCCTCACCATCTTGAGGTGGCAGGCAGCCCGGTTCCGGTGCAGAATGGCCTGGTCCTGAGGCGTCGCGCCCAGATCCAAGGCCTGGGTGTAGGCCGTCAGGGCACCCTCGTAGTCCCCACATTTGAACAGCTCGTTGCCCTCCTTCCGCAGCTGCTCCACTGAGCTGGCCTGTGGAGAGAGAGCGGGTAGAAACAGGCAGGGGGCTGAGGGCAAAGCCGGGGAGCGAGGGGGAGAGCAGAGGAGGGGTCGGGGACGAAGCCCACGGAGGGTTAAGAAAGGGGGAGAAGGACGCCGGGGAACGGCCAGGACAGCTACGAAGGAGTGGTGGCGCGGGGGAATGGGGCGCACCCCGGGGACGGCGGACTGGGGCTCGGGGGTCCCTGGACCACTCACAGTCATCCCGAAGCCGACCTCCCGTGCCCACGCAGGCGCAGTCCCGGGGCAGGGGGTGCGGCTAGACTCGGGAAGCTGCCGTGGATGCCCCGCCCACTTTGCGTCAGAGGCGTTGTCAGAGAGGGGGCGGGCCCAGGGGAGCGTGCAAGGGTAGGGGCGGGGCGTTCGGCCTGGGTCCGCC